TCTTTGTAGGTCAGAGTTGTTGTTTTTCTGAGGGTTCCCTGTAAAGGGCCTGGCAAGTTTCTTTCTGTGTCCCGTCATTTACACAATACGGAAGTGTTTATACAAGGAGCCGTGCACCTCAGGAAAAAGGAGTGAAATAAGATTAAGAAGCTGCTTTATCTTCAACCGTTTCCAGATTTCAGCCCTTTGCATAAACACAAATAAAAGTCCTGAATATGCCAGCTGTTAAAAAGGACTGCATCTGATATAAAACCTGTCACAATTCCAGTTGCACCCCACCTGTCAAAACCTGCATGGCTTTGACAACGTAAGTCAATCTGGTTTCATGTCATGGCTGCCAGAATTCCTCTCTCCAGTTGCAATATGACAGATAGAGTATTTAAGTTGTCTTATACAAGAAGGTGAGGTTGAAACTCCTGCTTAGCCATGGTGATGCTTTCAAGATGCAGACCCTCCAAGGGTCCCTGTTTTCCAGGGACAGTCCCACATTTACAGAAGCTGTCTCGGTTTCTGATTTGATACCAGATCCTGCTTTTCCCTGTGGCATCCCTGTTTTCTTTGGAGAGTATTAGAGGGCATGGAGTTATGTGACCCCTGAGCCAAGGGAATACGTAAATTACAAGTTTTAGAAGACATCCGAAGGCCTGCATGGGGAAGTTTTTAATGTTTAATGTTTTATTATGTTTTTATATACGTATGTAAAATATCATGTGGTACTTTCGTTTTAAGGTGTTTCATATGTGAATAGACTTAAGTTAGATGGTATATCTGCCAGTACACATTGAAATATAAAAGTTTATTATTTTCATTTTCATTGTCCTTTGTGTTAGAATAATACATGGGGGGGGGGAGAAGGGTAATTCAATGGGACCTCTTAAACCTGATATAGTTTAGGACAGGGGTCAGCAAACTTTTTCAGCAGGGGGCCAGTCCACTGTCCCTCAGACCTTGTGGGGGGCCGGACTATATTTTGAAGGGGGGGAAATGAACGAATTCCTATGCCCCACAATTAACCACAGATGCATTTTAAATAAAAGCACACATTCTCCTCATGTAAAAACACTAGGCAGGCCCCATAAATAACCCAGAGATGCATTTTAAATAAAAGGACACATTCTACTAATGTAAAAACACACTGATTCCCAGTCCATCCGCAGGCCGGATTGAAAAGGCGATTGGGCCGGATCCGGCCCCTGGGCCTTGATTTGCCAACCCATGGTTTAGGACGTCATCATGTCTTAATCTGGCCTTGTTGATGGGTGAACACTTTCCCCAGATGCAAGTAGCGCACATCTTAAACCTGACCACACAGAGTTGAAACCAACTCACTGCAAGAACTGTGTGCTTTTATTATTGGTGATGGTGGTGATTTTCTCCAAGCTGTAAGCAACCATCTGCTCTGCTGAAGTATTATGAGTGTTGACTCCTCCCCTCACCTCCACTACAAACCAAATGCATCCTCCTCCAATAATTCAGCAGGTCACAGTGCCTAGTGTCTCTCTGCTATTAGCAATGAGCTATATTTCCAATTTCCCATCTTGGTTAAAGAAACCTTCATGTGAACCACTGGGAAGTGAAGAACTCCATTGCCCAATAAATTATACAATTGCTGCCACAGAGATGGCATACTTTGAATTGGAGACAATCCACATTGGTAGTCTGACCATAATCAGGATGCCATCTGACCTATGCCAGAACATTTCTAGATTGGGTCAGAACAAAACAAGCAGCAAAAACTTGCTCGGTCCTGGCATTTCTGCATTGCAATTGTTAAGAAGAAGTAGTAATTAAAACAGCAACACTGCCAGCTCCATTCTATTTGGCAGCCAAAACAAACATCAGTTTCAATAAAGTACAGATTTTGAAGGTGAAGCTCTAGATGTCAAAAGCAAACTCATTATCCAAGTGCCTATTGCTGAAACGGCATCATCAATATCCCAAACAGGGAGAGGCACTAGCAGGCTTAGCGGGAAGGGAGCTGCCACGGTCTGAAGAAGTATGAAGAATCTTTGGGGAAACCCTTAAGGGCAGGGGAATCAAACCACAAACAGCCCAATGGGGACTGGGCATGCTTAGAGGGCATGGAATGGCGACATTTTGTTTGGGGTGGGTTGCGAATGGAAAACCAGGTGGGCAGAGGAAATGGATTGGACGACACTGGGAGAGGGCTGGAAACCTGGATAGGAGCTCCCCACACTGCAACATTCTGTTGCAGATACAGTGGTACCTCGGGTTAAGAACTGAATTCGTTCTGGAGGTCCGTTCTTAACCTGAAACTGTTCTTAACCTGAGGTACCACTTTAGTTAATGGGGCCTCCTGCTGCCGCCGCGTGATTTCTGTTCTTATTCTGGGGCAAAGTTCTTAAACTGAGGTACTACTTCCGGGTTAGCGGAGTCTGTAATCCAAAGTGTCTGTAATCCGAAGTGTTTGTAACCAGAGGAACCACTGTATTACTAATGTCCATTACTGCGCTAGTAGGAAGAGGTAAGCCTTGCTTGGGCTATTTCTTCCAAACAAGCAGCAAATTCCCCAAGGCCTGCTGTGGTCTCAGCCGCAGCAGCAGTGAAAAAATTGCTCTCAGGAGGAATGACCAACAGACAACATTACAAAAAACTGGAGGGGGGGGGAAGAATTCCACAACTTAGGGGCTGCCACAGAGCATCTGCCTCTCCTGGGTCACCACCATCTAGAACAGGCATAGGCAAACTCCGGCCCTCCAGATGTTTGGAACTACAATTCCCATCATCCCTAGCTAACAGGACCAGTGGTCAGGGATGATGGGAATTGTAGTCTCAAAACATCTGGAGGCCAGAGTTTGCCTATGCCTGATCTAGAACATGGGTAGGCAAACTAAGGCCTGGGGGCCAGATCTGGCCCAGTCGCCTTCTCAATCCGGCCCACGGACAGTCCGGGAATCTACATGAGTAGAATGTGCCCTTTTATTTAAAATGCATCTCTGGGTTATCTGTGGGGCATAGGAATTCGTTTCCAAAATATTGTCCGCTGTCTGCCCCCACAAGGCCTGAGGGACAGTGGACCAACCCCCTGCTGAAAAAGTTTGCTGACCCCTGATCTATAACTTCTGAGGGAGGTGGAACTACCAACTCCCCCCCCCCCGCTGATCTTAACACCTGAGAGAGTCTGTGGGGAAGGAGGTCCCTTTCAGATATGTAGGGCCCAAGTCATTTAGGGCATTAAACACCAGCATGTGTATCTTGAATTGGGCAAAAAAAAAAAACCCCCAGACCAGCAACTAGTGCAGATGTTTTAAAACAGGGGTTATATATGAGATCTGAAAGGAACTCCATCTCGCTGCATTTTGGACCAGATGACGTTTCTGAGCCGTCTTCATGTAGGGTACACTGCAACAATCGGATCTGAACGTGAGTTTATATGAAGCTAGATTAGGTCTATGTAGCTCAGTGTTTTGTCTGTCAGCATTCCTCGAGATTATGAAGTGTAGATCTTTCCTGGCTGCAGCACCATGCAAGAGAGCCACTGAAGAGGGAGTCTTGCAAGATGCTAGACGGATGTTCTGCAACTGTGCTATGGGCCCTTTCTCCACCAGCCACTTAAGAGCATTGCACCCCTCCCTCCCAGCACCCTCTGTTTACCTTACTTTGAAAAGAGAGCCTGTGACATGTTCTACTGAAGTCGAACTTGCCAACAAGTTCTAAATACAGAAAGCCTATTCCATGGTGCCAGGATAAGCAAAGGGTGTATGTTATCTGAGAAAACAGAGAAACTTGGAGTCAGAATAAATTCCCAGCAAGGTTTTCATTTGTTGACAAGATTCCCAGTCGGACAAAAAAATAAATCAGAAAAACCTACTGGAGCCAAGAAAGATTTTTGTTTTCGCCTGCAACGGAAGATGCTTACAGAGGCTTCTGAAGCCTCCGAATTATAAAGGTAAAAGCTAGTAGTTCTGGCTCAGCAAGCCGCCTCCAACCGGGTGACCTCAAAATGTTTTGGACTACAACTCCCATCATCCTTAGCTGCTGACCTGAGGCTCAAGGAGAAGTGTCTATCCTAGCACTGGGGCATTCTCTTCTAAAAAGACAGTTCCCTAGACAATTAAGTGAGACAGAAACATTACGGAATTGAATGGCCATCTGTCATGGATGCCATTGTAGATTCCTGCATCGTAGGGGGTTGGACTAGATTACCCACGGGGTCTCTTTCAACTCTACAATTCCATGGTTCTATGAACATCAGTTGCAAGGAAGCAATAGTACTTCTTTGCTACTCGGCTACATCAGTAAGTATCCAAGGATCAGCCTAGGTTTTGGACTCGCATTTTAAAGTACCGTATTTTTCCGTGTATAAGACTAGATTTTTCCCCTTTAAAAAAGTCAAAAATTGGGGGGGTCTTATACATGGGGGCATCTTATAGATGGAAAAATATGGTAATATTCATGCAGGCTGAGCAAATTTGTTTGAGAAGCCTGGGAGACATACCCCTGCGATGACATTTTCTCCTTTTTATAAAATGCTCATTATCAGCATTTTAAGTCTTTGCCTTCCAACCTGCTGATTAAGTATAACTGTGTGTGTCAGTAATTATACCTTCCAGCAGCGAGACTTTACCGCTGGATTATTCGGTTTAGATTAAATGCATTCCAATTTCTTCTGTCTTGGTGTGATTAAGGAACACAGCCACACGGGCGGAAAGTAGGTACATCACACCAAGAAGAGGGCATGACAGGGGTGTCCCACTGCTTGTTGAAGCAGAGCTACACAAAAAATTACATTCTTTGGATTAATGGTTATGTACCCTTTGCTTAATTTGAGGAGCAGATCAATTGCAAGACACAAAAACCTTCTTAAATACACCCCTCAAACAATGCCACTTCGGGCCTTTTTAATGTAGAGGAGACACGGTCAGGATGTAAAAAATTATACACAGTGTAGGAAAAGTGGCTAGAGAAAAGCTTTTCTTCCTCTCACATAGCACTAGAATTTGTGAGCGTCCAATGAAGCTGAATGCTGGAAGGTAACGGCCGAGATAGCTCAGTTGGCAGAACATGAGGCTCTTAATCTGAAGTTGTGGGTTCGAGCCCCACACTGGGCAAAAGATTCCTGCATTGCAGGGGGTTGGACTAGATGACCCTAGTGGCCCTTTTCCAGCTCTGTGATTCTACGAATTCCATCTATCTATTCAGGGCAGACGAAGGAAAGTGCTGCTTTGCACAAAATGTAGTTAAACCTCGGCTCAAATCCGATCTGCACTTCTCTTGTTCAGGTTTCCCCTCCCGCTCCCTCAATATGGGAACACACCAAGCCATAGATCCGCCTAGTTCATACAGTCAGCACTCACCACCATTGACTTTCCAGTGTTTCAAGTCAGGAGCGTCTCTCAGCCTGGCCTGGACTTGCCTGGGACTGAACCTGGGATGTTCTGCATACAAAGCAGGTGTTCCACCATTGAACTATGGCTCCTCTGAGCCTTGCTGCTTATCCCTTAGCCTGCTAATTTAAGGCATTTGTATCCCACTCTGCCAAATATTCAAAAGTTTTGTATGCAAAGCCTTCATGGCTTGAGACTTAAGTATCTGATACATTAGAAGTTTTGCTTCATAGATCAGCAATATGTTGTTGTTGTTGTTGTTGTTGTTGTTGTTGTTCTTATGATGATGGTGGTGGTGATGATTACACCCATCAGGGGACGCAGGTAGCACTGTGGTCTAAACCACTGAACCTCTTGGGCTTGCTGATCAGAAGGTTGGCGGTCCGAATCCCTGCAACAGGGTGAGCTCCCGTCACTCTGTCCCAGCTCCTGCCAACCTAGCAGTTCGAAAGCACGCCAGTGCAAGTAGATAAATAAGTACCGCTGCGGCGGGAAGGTAAACGGTGTTTCTGTGTTCCATTGCGCCAGAAGCGGTTTAGTTATGCTGGCCACATGACCCGGAAAGCTGTCTGCGGACAAACACCAGCTCCCTCGGCCTGAAAGCGAGATGAGCGCCGCAACCCCCAGAGTCACCTTTGACTGGACTTAACCATCCAGGGGTCCTTTACCTTTACCTTACCTATTACACCCATCTGACTGGGTTGCCCCAGCCACTCTGGGCAGCTTCAAGAACATATAAAACATAATGAAACATCAAACATTAAAAACCTCCAGATAGCCTTCAGATATCTTCTAAAAGTCATATAGTTGTCCATTTCCTTTGCTTCCAGCAAAATATAAAAACACAGTAGGGTCTCGGTTCAGCCCAGCTGACTCCCAACGATTTGTTGGATTCTCCTCCTTAAATCTCTTCAGCCTTAATTTGTAGCAGGGTTCCTGTAATAACCCTAGAAGGAACTGGGTTTTTTTTGGGGGGGGGTTTACACATTAAATTTTAGGCTTGATGTCATAGTAAGGTGTCTATAGCCTGTAGATCAGGGATGGGGAACCTTTGATCCTCGACTATTGCTGGACTGCAACTTCCACCATCCCTGACCAATGGTCGCTAAGGCTGATGGGAATATCTGAAGGACCACCAGTTTCCCAGCCCTGCTCTAGATGGATGCACAGCATGTCATTAGGAAGCCAGTTCAAATTTTAAAAAATAAATAAAATCACGCTATTTGAGCTAGAAATGGTTGGCTTGGTATAATAGCTCTATTCCACTGCAGTATAAAATCCCATTTCCAACTAGATTGTGCAAAGTTAATTTGGAGGGGGAGGTGGAATTCATAGGAAAGAAACCTTTTACATTTTTATGAGATGCAAACAAATCGCAATAATCTTCCGACTTGCTTCCCTGATCAAGGCTACCAACTTTATACTGCAGTGCATCAGCCTACAAAGACATCAACATTTTGCTGCTCTCTAAAAATCATGCGCAAGTAGCATGCAGCATTGTGACCTATGGATGCTATGGCTTTTAGGCTTCCTTCAGCTTCTAGCTATAAGTCATTTTTCTGGATTCCATTTCCTTTCTATGCAAAAGGGTTGTCTTTTATGTTAGGTTTAAGAATAAATTTTGTGCCAGTTTCAGAATCCTAAAGAGTATGGTGTGCCTGAGAGACGCTGAGAGATACAGAAAGAAGGAGAAATCAATCTAGGGTTTATAAACGTAATTATTTTCCACTATTTCCAGTACTGAACCTCTGGGATGCCCTATATGTAAGACTCCTAAGAGGTAGCAGCTATGCCATGCTACACTTTTCTTCGTCTGCCCTGAATAGATAGATGGAATTCGTAGAATCCACTTTTCCTTATCTAATTCCCCCTTCCTTTTTTTTTTCCCAGTCTCCCCATTGGTATTTACACAGCCAGACACATTTCTTAATCATTTCTGTCATCCTTGTAATGTGTTTAGGCATGAAAATTGCAATTGCCAAAAATAAAACATTGGGTAATATACTTGTTTTTATTCCGGACATTCTTCTGCTGCATGACGGATTAATATGTGTCCTTTCCCATAAATCTCTCTTAATACTTTAAATGAGACTTTCACAATTATCCTTAAAACAAAGCTGATGCTGTTTCAGAAAGCTACATTTTACGTTAAGATTCCAGCCATGGTGTTTGCAAAACACTTTCCCGTCTCATCTTTTCCCCGTCTGCTCTTACGTCATTCCCTAATAATTGCAATCTCACAACATTTACTATAAGTACCAATTTTCAGAGCCGAGTGAAAACATAGCTCTGGCTATTTAACCAACATAGTCTGTAGAACTAAATGGGTGTCAGTGAAACAGCCCTCCCGTCTACATCTAGGGTTGCCATATGCCTGGAATTTCCAGGATATAGCTGGAATACAGCAGTCGGAAGCAGTGCCCAGGCAGAAATCGCTTAAATGTCTGCAAAAAATCATATGGCAACTAATGTCGGAAGTCTAGGTTTTGCAAATTTCCTTTAATAGCTAAAAAACTATCCTGATTTTCACTTTTTGAAATATGGCAACCCCAAGTTGGACTCAAGTTCCATTTCTTGCTCAAACCCAGAAAGGTGTTTGAGAAAAATCTAGAGCGAAGATGTGAACACTTTCTTATGGCAATAACAACAACAATAACAATAATAACAACAGCATGAGACTCTTAATCTCTACAAGCCCCACGTTGGGCAAAAAATACCTGCATTGCAGGGGCTTGGGGTAGATGACCCTTGTGATCCCTTTCCAACTCTATAATTACATGATTCTAGAATAAGAATAATTTATTTCTTATACCCTGCCCATTTAACTGGGTTTCCCCAGCTTCCAACAAAAATACAGGGGAAAAACAGCAGCAGCAGCAACAACAACAACAACAAATGTTAAAAGCTTCCCCAAACAGGGCTGCCTTCAGATGTGCACGAAAAATTATATGCTTGTTTAACTCTTTGACATCTCCAAGGTGAAGATTTGACAGGGCAGGTGCAACTACTCAGAAGGCCCTCTGCCTGGTTCCCTGTAACCTCACAGTGACGGAACCACCAGAAGGACCTCTGAGATGGACCTCAGTGTCCGGGCTGGATGATGGGGGTGGAGACACTCCTTCAGGTTTACACGGCCAAGGCTGTTTAGGGCTTTAAAATTGAATGCCAATTGTGCTTGGAAACATACTGGGAGCCAATGTAGATCTTTTGGGACCGGTGTTATGAAAGGTCCATGAGCTCAGACTCTGCTGCTGCCGCCATGTATTTAATTTCCCCTCCTGCACAGCCAGCAGAGAAACACAGGCATATAAATTGCAGTCTAGGGGCATTAGAAGGCAATTCTGTTGGGCGTTGCCCTGATATTAAGCATATGCCAACTTTTGCAGTGCTACATAATAAAAATACTATATAATAATAATTTATTATTTATACCTCGCCCATCTGGCTGGGTTTCCCCAACCACTCTGGGTGGCTTCCAACAAAAGATTAAAAATACATTAAAACATCAGTCATTAAAAACTTCCCTAAACAGGGTTGCCTTCAGATGTCTTCTAAACGTCAGATAGTTGTTTATTTCTTTGACATGTGATGGGGGGGCGTTCCACACAAAAATGCTTTGGTAGTCTCCAGTGCTGGGGATACTGGAACCAGTTTAATGTTCCATTAAAGCATCCTGAGAGTTAACGTGCAAGCATCCCACAGGAGTCCCAAACTGAACACCAGTGTCTGTTTTCCCTCATTGCAGCCAACAGTGAACATGCAGCTCAGCTGCAACTAACACTGCCAACAATGTTCAGGCCAGAGAAATGGTATTTTAAATGTCTCCGGAGAGACATGTGACCAAACCCTGGACACAAGCAAAACAGCCTCTTTCTCCTTCCTCCTCTATTATTAAAAAAAGGGAGCTTCTTTTACAGAGAAGAATTATGGTTAAATAGAATGAATTTTTTGCAATATAATGAACTCATTAGGATCTGAGAAAATACTGTAGCCACAACTGAATTCCCTCATGACGAATTCAATAGAGGTTACACTCAGGCACTCATTGATAAAATGGTACTTGACACTGACTAGACTGGGAAGCACTCATGAGAAAAACCAGCCCTTGTTACCAAAGACAAAGCGGGAACTCTGTGCATTGGCCGGGCATTCTGGTTACAAAATGCAGATCATCCAAGCTGAAGAAAAACCACATTCAGAATCAGCACACTGCAGAAGGTGGCAGCAAGTTCAGTCATTCATGAGAGAAGAGCAGGACTTTGTCCTTGCAGAACACAGATGTGCTTTTTGTTGTTGTTGTTGCTGCTGGAGGGAGAGAACGTGATCAACAAAATAAAAATGAAGATTCAGTCTCCCTTCTCACCCCACCCAGCTTTCAGCCAACCAAGGCAAATAAAGCCAGCCAGCTAGCCATGTTTGGGGCTCAGCCTTCCCCCCACCTCACCCTATTTTTGCAGTCCCAGGCAGGCAGCACGCATGGGTACAGCTCCTGGCAGGCTGCCCTCCATAGCAATAATCAGCTTGGGGAGCCACAAGTTAATAAACTGATATATGATCGCACAAACGGGTCCACTACCTTAAACTAGCACACCCACACCCACACCAAATTGAGCCAAAAATAAAGCAATATCTGAGCTAACAAAACCACAGCAGGGTTTATTAAAACGGCTCTATCTCCAGGTGGTGACAGCCTGGATTTGCCATGCGATTAACCACTCAATAAC